TTGATTGGGAATTCCATTACAATATTATCCATTTGTTTGGTTTTGACATGAATTTTATTAACCTTTTTAAGAATTGCTTTAAAGATTCTCATTTTTCCATCATTGTTAATGATAAAAGTAATGGTTTTTTAAAATCTTCTCATGGTCTTAGACAAGGTGATCCTATATATCCATCTCTTTTTATTATTTTTATCGATTATTTATTTAGTGTCTTGCTCATCTCTTTTAAAATTCTCCTAGCCTCTATTTCAGAACTTTTGGGGGGTTTCCTATTTCTCATCTTTGTTTTGCATATGATTTTATTTTTTTTACTAATGCTTATGTTAATAGGATTAATAAACTTATGGACTACTTTAATCTTTTTAAAATGGTTAGTGGTCTTTCTCTGAATAAACATTAGTGCTGCTTCATTCCTTCCAAGAAAGTTCTTAATGATAGTATTTTGGACATTAAGAATGCAACCGGTTTTGTGCATGGTAATTTTCCTATTCAATACCTTAGGGTGCCTCCTTTCAAAGGTAAAAATAAGAACTTTCTTTTTTATTATTTAATTACAAATGTGTAGAACAAACTATTATCCCAGGATTCTAATTTCCTGAGCTTTGTTTTTGTTTTTGATAACCCTAACATGGGTATCGTGTGGCTTGCCTTTGTAACTTCTTGACTTGCGTAGCCATTGTTGTATGAATGATTTGGCTTATGTTTTCTCCTTCAATCTATGGTACAATTTTCATGCTAAAGTGAACTTTTGTGCTAAGTTTATGTTTGCCAAGTATTGTGTGGGTAAACATTCGACTACTTGTTGTTTTAACTAAGGTGACTATAAGGTGTAGAAAAGATTGTGCAAAACTAAATGGGTCATTAAGCCCTTTCTCTTTTGGGGGCTTGGTGGTGGTGACATTTTCTTTTGGCAAGATTGTTGGTTGGGTTGTTAATCTATTGACTCCCTTACTAACTCTTCTTCGAATATGGTGGTTAAGGTGAATTTCATCTTTTCTGATAATTGATGGAATTATGACAAGCTTGTTAATGTTATTCATGATTCTATTATTCAACAAATTTTGAATCTTCCTCTTAATACTGAAGCTGATGATGTTCTTTTATGTGGTTTATCCAAAGATGGTGCATTTAGACTCAAGGATGCTTGGCATGCCATTAGAACTAATAATGTGGTTAATAATTTGTTTCCTTTCTTTGGCCTAAAAGTATTCCTTCCACTGTGGTTGTCTTTGTTTGGAGAATCTTACATAAGTGTATCCCTGTGAAAGATAACTTAATTAAAAGAGATTTTATTCCACTTGGATTTATTTTGATGATATGTTTCAATTGAATTGCTTTAATGCTAAAATATATATTTATGCCTTGCTTAATTATTGTTTCATCAAGTCTAAAGGACATATCAGAAATGTGATCCCTTCTCTTATTTTGTGGTATTTATGGTTGGATAGAAATAATTCTCTATCTTTAATGGTGTTGGTATGAACCACCATAGGATTATTTAGAATGTGAAAGACAAGGTTGTTACTCTTTACTCGGTTAAATTACTTTCTATCAAGAATTTTTAAGAATTTTTTTTTTCTGTTGCTTATGCTTTAGGTATTAAGCTGGAGGATGATCATCTTCCTAAAAATCCTAGGCTTATATTTTGGACCAAACCCCCTTTTAATTCCTATAAACTTAATGTGGATGGTGCTAGTGTTGGGCCCTCTTTGGGTTGTGATGGGTTCTCAGGGATGGTTATGGTAGCTTCATTATGGCTTTTGCTAGTACTTTGCAGAATTATGATGTTAACAAAGTTGTGACTCAGGCTTTGCTCTATATCTTAAGGCTTTGAATCTCTTTAGATTTAACTAACATTATTATTTAATTGGATTCTAAGTTTTGTTTTCAATTATTAAATGTTGTTGAGGATTCGGTGTGCAACTCATCTCTTTTTTTTCTGGTGAGGGATGTTAAGAATTTGTTGATTTTTATGAACTTTTATGTTTCCCTTATTCATAAGGTTGGTAATGCGTGCGCTAATTGGCATGCCAATTGGGGGAAAGATCTGGACTGTATGTTTGATGTTACTGCTACTAATTTATCTGCTCCTCTATGGTGTCTTTCAAGGTTAGATAAGATTTGTATGTCTTATGTTAGAACCTCATTTGTGCTTTTTGGCTAGGGCTTTATTCTCTAGTTTTCTATTAGGGTCACTTCCTATGTCCTATTCCTTTAGTGATGATTGACATGTAACAAATACGACCTACACATAATGAACTTGTTAAGAAGCAAGGATGATGAGATATAATGATATCTCTAATGTCAATTGTAATTAACTCCCAGAAAAGACACATCAGTTCTCACAAGTAGAATAATTCAATAACATTGCATGAGACCCGTTCAAAAATGATAGTTGCAACTAGAAAGATTTGATGTGTGGTGAAAGCAACAACGTGATGCATCTAAGTGAATATCAGTATTTGACAAATGTGCTGTTGAAGATTAATACAAAACTTGGTGGTCTAAATTCACAACTACAAATAGAAATACGCTTAATATTCCAATCATCCTAAGAGTTGCAAAAACTATTTTAAGATTGAGTGTCTCACATGGTTTTCTTGAACATTTTGACGCACTTGTAATTGCTTTAATCATTAGTTTGGGGCAGTGGCCACAAATTTTGAAGTGTAAGATATCAGCAAGGATGCAATCATCCAAGGTTGAAATGATTGAGTATATATTTAATCCGACAGCAGAAAATGATGATGATGGCATAATTAGAAAGTTGCCCACTAATTCTTATACGAATTCTATGAAGAGAATGCCATATCGAATCAATATGAAGTGTGTGAATCTTAGTTCAACCATATCTTTGATGCTGAGTTGGATGAGATTATTGAGGCTTGCAAGTTTCTTGATGAATAATGGTCGTGCATCCTACATACTTTCTACGAATAAATATTTAAGTACTACGACAAACATAAACTTCTACGAGCTGTCGTAGAAGACCCGTCAAATGTCCAAAATGCCCCCATACATGCACTATAATTTGTATACACATAGGTACATAAAATGAGTAACTGAATCATAAAACTCGCATGGGCCTCGACGAGCGTGTCTTGGATGTACACCTGATGTCTAGGGATGTTTTGAGGGTCAATAAATGAATGTAGTTCAAGCCCGATCCTTCTATATAGAGATAAGAGTCGACACGGCTCGAATTATCAAACAGGTATACGGTTAGGGTGTCGATCAGAATATCTATTTTATACGTTCATATAATGCCTTCAAGGCCTCCAACAAGGGAAATTCATTAATAAAATATAAAGCCTATGAAACCCAATCCTCTATTGACAACTCGACAGAGTTGACAAGGTTCAACCTATGAATGTAATGACCTCATAAACACCCTGATGATGACCGTGTTGAATAGAAAATCTCAACCATTGGGACTAATTTATAATATTTTCAAATGCCATCCCAAATAACTGAAAATCTAAAATTCCAAAAAAATGTCATCCATAAATCCCAAAAATCCAAAGATATTTAAATTTGAAATTACTCATCAATGCTTAAAGAAAATTTTATCCATCCTCCACAACAATTTGTTGAGGTGGATAAATTAAAATTTACTTAAGCTCGCATAAAGCTAATGCCAGTTGAAAATTTCACTAGGATCTATTATTAAATAATCTCCTACTAGTAAGGACGTTGTACATGTCCTCTGACTAAAGATTTTGGCACCAATTAGCACCGCAGGATAAACTTTTATGATCCGGTCTGTCTGAACTGAGTGGTTATGCGGCCAAATAGCACCACGAGATTACAGTTATGGCCAGAGCCAATACGCTCCTTAGTGACATCAAATCCTTAAGATATGAAACAATAGGATATAATCGATAAGGCACAAAGCCTTTTGTTAGTTGAGCTGGATTCAAATTTGTCCCTTTCAACAAAACTTCACCCTAGTTCTATAAGGTACTCTTGGACGAAGCAATCCATGGCTTCTAACAAGGATCCTTCTATCAGGTTGGGCCGACTATCTCCTATGACTAAGTAGATCAATGATCACGATGGTCCGGGACAATGGAACCATGGGTTCTTGATTGGATCCCTCATCCATTCCCCCACCATCCGCTTTAAGCACACGATGGTGAAATTTTCAATTTTAAATATCAAAATTTTCAATACTTAAGCCCATGGTGCTATTATAAGCCAGATAACACATATTCATATGTATCTGATTGACAACTAGCCTTAATCAAAAGTTCTCTCTCATTATCGAGAGGGGTAATTAACTATAAAAGACTGCGCCTAGAGGAAACCATAACTCAGATCATAAAGTCCTCGCATAATGAGGGTGAAATCTCTAGGTAGTGCCTTATCTACAAACTCATATGCCTTCCAAAATTTATCCCAAAATTTATTCTATTAAAACTCCTCCAAAAGAGAAGCAACGGGGGAGATCAGGGATGAATTTTTGGATCCCACAACTAACGATACTTCAAAATTAACAACTCGTTCAAAATTGAGTGAAGGATTTATAATAATCCAAAAATGGGGCAATTTAGAGGGCTTTTACTTAATAGAGGATCATTGTGGGATTGAATGGTCCATACCATTAAATATTAGCTTAAAAAAAGATCTTAACCTTATCCTGGTCAAGTGTCCTAGGTCGGATTTCATTAGGTGTTTTTGATACCTTGGGATAACTAGAATTTGCCTCAAGATTCATATTATTCATGATATGCATGTCATTGGCAGCTTTTTTTCGAAACAAACAACGTAAGATATTTTAAACCTTTTGGTAGAAGTCTGTAGACTAGATTACGTTAAATATTATTCCAAAACTTATTTTCGTTATTAAATTACTGATGCCTTCTTAATTACCATCCGTTTACATTTTGCATGCAAGTTTCAGATTGATGGCCATATCCTATAATTCTACTAAATTGTGCTTCATACATAATTGCTATGCTCAGTTGATAAAGTTCAACATAAAAAGCTGAAGTCGGATCACCATCAAAAGCCACCAAGATTACACAGTTTAAATTTTGCAAACACAATACAATAAAAAGTATACACGGAAATTTTTCATTGTAGATAGCAATATGTAATACTTTATATCCCACAACATTATTTAGTCCCCCAGCTGGGGAATTTATCTATAACAGACCATACGACTTTGAAAGAATATATGAATCAAATAACTTTATCCGAATCCATATTAATTTGGAAAGAAGAGAGAAATGCTCCATTTGTTGCGGTGATATGGCAAACAGTGTTTAGTGTTTGTTGCCTGAAACGGCAGTGTTCTTTAATTTTGACCACCACTTACCAGCAAAAAAGGTTCTGCATGTCAGAAAGAACGCTAGGGTGAGACTTAAAATCTTAGATAAATAAAACAAGTTTTATTACTTCTACATGATTTTTGGGTTATGAATACAGGCTATCGATTTAGCAATATTTCGTCAATTAATTTTACCAACCTATTCTTCTTTTTCTTCTTTTCGATGTAAGCAGAAAGCTCGACTTGGTGAGAAATTGCATCTTCAAGAGCCTGAAAGAGAGATTTTAGTGGTTACATAAAAGATCTGGATGACTTGTGAGAAAAAAAAATTATCATTTTGATGTCGTTTAGGTTAGTACAATGTAAAAAAAAAACGTAGATAATAGAAGGCTTAAAATTAGAAGGCTGAATACTGAGTATATATAATATATAAATTTAGTGTTGTAATATTAAAAATTATCAATCAATGATATTATGAGTTAAATTAATATCTAAAACTGTCTCACATAGTTTTAAATAAAAGAAAAAAAAAAAGCTAAATTCATATTTAAGAATGATTGGTTAAAGTATTTTGGATATGTTATATAAAAATATGGATGTACATGAGCATATAATTTGTAGATTTAAGTTTGTGGTTAACATGGAGAGAAATATCTTAAGAGTATTATTAAATAGCATAGAAAATTAATAAAAAAATTTTTATAAAAAAACCAATTAGATAGATGAGGCAATGGTACTGTATCGATCGAAATATGGCACGACAAAGAAGTTGATGCCATCAAGTTGAGGGATAGAAATGAGAATATGAAGGATAGAAGAATGAATGATATTATTTTTTGGTTAGGGCAATTCTATTAAAAAATGATAACTAAGATAGACTTGAGTGATTTACAATAATTAAAAGTAGAATATGAGTACAACAATAATAATGTCAAGTCTTTATCCTACTATATGGGTTCAATTACATAAATTCTTTTTCTTCATTACATCATATTAAGAGTCAAATTCTCATTTAAATCTTATAAAGAAAAGTCATTTATAATATTTTCTAATTAAGTCCTTTTAGGTCTACCTATACATTTCTTAACGTAAGTCAAATCCAATAGAAAGTTAAAAAGTTAGAAAGTTACAAAGAATGGGAAAAAAAAGGTAACATCGATAGAGTTTGAAAAAAATATTTACAAAGAAAGCTCCTGAGCCATTTGATCATGACCTCCCTCGATACTCATAGGTTTGTTTTTTTTCTTTAATCAGATTTATTTTATTGAAACTAAACACAAAAAAAAAAATCTTGAATTTGTTTAAATGTACACCAAATAATTTTAAATATTTTAAATCTATTGCATTTGCTTTACAATGCATTTAAAATCTAATAGAAAATGAACTTGATAAAATTGACCACAAAAAGTTGGATGACAACTATAAATTTTATCAAGAGCATTTTTTAAATTAAACACATAAAAATTTATGTTGTTCAAGTTAATTACTTTCCTTAAATTGAGAAGTTTATATTTTAGTACATTGACTTGATAAAGAAAAGGCTCATATCAGTGACGAGTATGGTATTCTTAGTATTACCTTTCTGGTGGCAGCAAGCTCAGACTCCAATGTTGCCACACGGTACATAGCAGACTTGAGCATCTCCTCTTTCTCTGGAGAGGGCTCGGCCTTCTTACTGAGATCATTCACCTTTTGCTCGAGCTCCTCAAGCCTCTTCATAACTGCAGAGTACTCTGACATGGAGACTGTAGGCTTGGCCGCCAGGCCCTGCCTCTTGTCCATTTCATTCGAGTAGCATACATCCTTTTCATCCATAATCTTCCTCCGTAGGTTCTTGGACATCTTTGCCATGGTGACTACACCCATGACAAAGGCCATGAAACCAGTGAAGACACCACCATTCAATTTAACATCCTTACAATTGTTCGCAATGTCATACACTCCTGCACAAAACAGCAATTCAGTGTTTTAGTGTTACCTTCTATGCATTCAATTTAGGCTTCTAATAAAATTCAACATCACCAACATCATTATATTCAACATGTTCATTCCATTAGCAGGAGCTAGTACAAGAGAATAATTCTCAAAAGAGTGGGCATGAGCTAGCACATGCGAAGGAGCAACGCTCAAAATTCAAACCGACAAAGATACACACAAATTCGTGTGCTTTCTTGTAAGAAACACAATCCAAATTAGGACAGTTCAAATAAAATAGTTGCATGGAATTATTGTATGCTGTGAAGAAAACAATGGAATAAAAGGAAAAAAAAAATTAGAAAATTTTCTTTTTAATGAAAAAGAACTTCGAAAAAGAAACATATACTTTTTTACTACAAAATAGCTGTTTGACAGTTTGAATCTATGAAATTGCAAAAAACTAATCTAGCAACACTTTCTAAGAATAAACTCGTACTGTTCAGTAATAAAATAAATAGATAAGAAGAAGAGAAGAAGATAGATTTATGAACAAATTGAAAGATACCTTTAGCAGTGGCAATCTTGTAATGTGACAAATCCACGTTCCAGGTGGCATCCACAGTCTTGTCAACCATAGGGACATCAAAGGACGGACATTTTTTCTGAATAATTTGGGCCATAAATTCAAGAAAGAAAAATAAATACAGATCCTACTTTCAGTGTAAAATCAAGATTGTTATGCAGAAGAACTTAATGTCTCTAATGAACACACAAGAAAACAGAACAAAATGTTTCCTCCCAATTAAGCAAGAAAAGCAAGATCCACCTAAAGCTCCTAGAAATAATAAGTATTTATTTCTTAATAGTTTAGACAGATGAAATTAATCAAGTTAAGAAATGAAAACGAGGACGGATTATCCCCTCAAAGGACAAGTGCAAGTCAGGCATTGTAAACGTAAGAAAATGGAAAGGTATTGTTTTTTAATACAAATTACATTTGACCGTTAATACAAATTACATTTGACAGTAACTATTTCATACCTTCATCTGATGACTATACATCTCCTCTCGAATGGGTGAGAGATGTGGTTGCTCAATCATCCATCGTGATAATTTAGGAGAAGTCACATCGTCAGTAGTGATGACAGTCCCACTAGAAATTGAATCATTTTTCTTTATATCGAAAACAAAGAAAAGCAATTATTAGTACATTATTTATATTTGTCAACTCAATATCACAATTTTGAATCAAAAGTAAAGAGATGGCTCCATTATTATGGTTGCTACCTCATGGTAAACAATCTCCTCAGAAATAATCTTCTCATTAGCGCTGGAAGCATAGCTTGGCTTTAGTGTCTTGGCCTCGCCACTTGGAATAATCTTCAGACAACGTGTAGACAAGTTAGGCTTCAATGTGCATCTATATTTTCTTACGAAAAAAGTGTAAATTAATAAATGACCACCTTCAAAATTTCAGGATCATTCCATGGCCCTTTATCAGACCGAAGACAACCTCCCTCATTGGCACATTTACATGTACCACCAAGGAATTCCGGCAATTCACTGTTTGAAATGCACAAAGTATAATCAGTAACAGTGGTAGGTGGGAATTTAATATCATTGTAAGATTCATTTTGTGAAACCATAGATTTGATCTCACTTTCATAATTTAAGGTTGTTTGAATGATTTAAATGTCAGTCTTATGCAGGCTTACCTAGCGTCAATTACTTCAAGCAGCTTGCTCTGGTACTTGTTGCCAAGAACCTGGTGTGTAAGTCAAAGCTGATCCATTTAAATCCTCCTACCAAAGAATTTAAAATATATAATAGATAAAGTTATGAGCTCACGTAGATCTTTGAAGCAGTTTTAGGGTCAAGGAATCCCTTAACCGTGTTCCATAAGAGCCTAAATCCATGCCCAGCATTAATGATGAACATGCGGTTCAGGGTCTGAACAAAAAAAGGTTCGTTTTACTTAATTATATAAACATTACCACAAATTCAATCAGCATAAACATTACCACATATTCAATCAGGAGGGAAAAATTTTAACCTCTGGATAATTATCACCATCGATCTTCTGAAGACGACCAATTAGTTCTCTTGCTGTCTTATTAAAGTTCTTGACTCCCTGCATGCAAAATCATCCCGTCATGGTATTTTGATGACACTGGAAAGGAACTATAGCCAAGCCTATCTATATGAATGTATATTTGACAAAACATTAACAATAGCTTACCACTCCTTGCACATCAAGAATCGTGGTGCTCTGATCAATGTGACATTTTGCAGCAATAGAGCAAGCTGGGAACTTGACGGAAAAGATCCTCTCAAACTCCCTTACATGGTAGTTGATATAACGATCCAAGGTTGTGACTTGCATCATTTTGTTAATATCGATCTGCCCAAGCTTTTCGAAATAAATAGGTCTGCCTTCCTTGTCAACACCATGATGACATTGTGGATAGTACTCCAAGACTTGATCAATCTCTTTGTACTCGAATTCCTTAATAACATAAAGAAAACAAGTAAATATATAATTATTATTTACTTCTCTTTAAAATGAAAACAAGAGCAAGGAGAGGTAACTACAAAATACTAAAGTTAATAGCAAAATATAACTTGTATGATATTAGTACGATCCCTTGATTTGTTTTTCTTTATCATGGATTTCCCTTTTAACCCAACTTCCACTACCGTTATTTTCAAAATTGTGAATGCTTGATAAACACTGCAGAAAGTACCAGGTCATGTTCTGGTATAGCGATTGAAGAAAAAAGACTTAGTTATATATCCTTCAATAAAGTTCAAGAACTTGAGAGATAATAATTACCTCGAGTATTGTGTCAGCACCAAATTCCTTCCTCCATTGAAGCATATCAGCCCACATTTGCTTTGTTCTCTCAATATCAAACTTTCTGGCCTTAAGAAATCTGCACAATGCAATGGTAAATATACTAGTTCCAAGATATATAATGCGCCATGCAATTAAAGTATTCATCAATGCAGGGAAAAAGAAATGTTTTTCACTTTAAGATTAACGGTTTGCTGCACTTCTAACCTTGACAAAAAACTCTATTTTTAATTAAAGGACAAAATATTTTAAAATAAAGAAAGCTATGATGAATAGCATATCAATTTTGATGCAATGTCACATCTACAATCTGCACATGCAAGAAAATGCTAAGAAAATGTTTGATATCTTGTTTAAGATTAACCTGAGCATCATATGATAGTCATCATGTCTTGAGGGCAGAAGCTCCTCTAAGATGAGGGTCTGTCTAAAGGCATCTACAATTTGCATTTCCTCCACATCACGGTTATCCTCAATGGAGACAGACATGACCCGGCTGCTTCTTCTTCCTTTTTTATTCATTGAATGCCTGAATTTGTTTGAGTTATTCACCCCCTTCTTCCTAAAGGATCCCAGCTTTGTCTCTTCAAGTCCTTTATTCTCCTGCATGAAATCAAGTCCTGCGAGCAAACAAATTTTACATAGCATTTTCAATGAGCTCTCAAGGGAAGTTCATGAATTTTGAAATAATATGAGAAAATAATAAGTGATTAGTTTGTCAAGCAATGATAATAGTTTGGTTACAAGCAATAAGGGGGTGTCTTTCAATTAGGCAGCCTATCAAATTGCCATGATTTGACCTAGGAAACATTAGGATTACCATAATTGCCCCTTAGATCATGACATTTATATAATATTTCTTCATATTAGAAATAAAAATTAGAGTTCATGTGTTAAGCACGCATTAGGAAACTTATGATCATTAGAGAACAAAATTGAATTTTCCAAGAATTTCCTATATTTCACAATTTTCAATGAAAATAAACATAGGGTCATTTTCATAATTTCAAAAAATCTTGATTTTGAAATTGGTGTAACCGAGGCTTGAGACTTTTATTGCAGGATGGCACAGATGAGAGAACCCCACACATCAAATTTCTTAATATTAAGAATCTTTTAAAATTTTACAAAATTAATTTGGTCTCAGGGTACTTTGATAATTTCACTAAAAGGATTTTGGCCTAAACATAATTAGTTTTTACCTACCATGAAAGTGAGATTCTACGCAATATTTGATCATTTAACAAAGTTTTTATTTTTGAAAAGCTTAGGAAATGTGAACCAAGGAATCCAACGTATCAATGGCTTGTAGCTGCCCTTTGGATTGAAAATGATTTGTTGGGTTTAGAGCAGCAAATTTGGTTGCTGGACTGGCAAATGCTGGTTCAAAGACAGCCATGTGATCTGAACTTGATTCGATGTGGAGTAATTTTGATTAGATGGGAAAAGAAGCCTTAAATTGACTTCGAATTAATGGAAGTTAACAGATATTGTTTGCTCGAGTTTGACTATAGCTTGTTTTTCTATTTCACTGACCCTTTGTTACATCGATTATGAAGTATGCCTTCCAATTATTTAAGTTCATTCTTAATTATGGAATGATTTTCACCACGGATTCACAGAGCCAATAGTTTATTCCATCTAGAATGTTCATACTCAACCTAAAATATGTTTAAAGTCCATTGCAGTAAGCTACGAGTTTGTTTCAGATTTTTTCATTCATTTTGTTTCATCTTTTTTTTTAAACAGAACAGATTTTATTACAATTTTCCTTCATCTTAATTCCATAATGACAAGGCAGTGTGTGGATGAGAATCCAATGGAACTTCACTAAAGAAAATCTCTGTACTACCAAAAAATCTTTGAAGGATCTTTGTCGCCATAGTTAGCAGCAGCAAGAAACATGTAGCCCTTGCTCAATGTGAAAGGAACAATGGGCGGTGCTTAGTGCTAAGTAAATTTTGACAACTTGCCCTCTACAATGGCAATAGTAAGTTCTACCCTTAGCTCTACTAGGTCTCAAGAAACATGTTGAGCTTGAGGTCGGCATCTTAATATCACTGACATGAGGACTAATGAGAAGAGTGGGAGAGGCATAATACGAGTTTGAGTTAAGGACATTTACTACAATGCTAGGACGACAACAAGCTGCTACTTGACATATCTAAAAATTGAGTGGAGTAGCATATCGGAGCTGTTGGAATGATTTTGGGTATTATAGAGTGGGGAGGCTCCTCTTTCACTTTGAGGATGATAGATTAAGGTCTTTCATCTTATCTCATTTTAAAGGATTTCTACATGATTCCTAGTTCAATTACCTCAAACTCAAAAAAGTGGTTAAAGTTGACCTCGATCACCCAACAAGTTATTAGAATGAGTACCCGTCACACATGAGATAGGCTCGTACTGAGCAGCCCAGTGTGCCAAGTCTATGCAATAATGGATGGGAATGTATAAAATGGTCTTAGATTTTAAAATTTTGATGTGTTGGTTTTGAGCTCTTATCATATACAACCTTATGGGGACCACAAACCTTAGGACTAGTAATTTAGGTTCCAAGTTGGACACAAAAATCATCTCGTTGAAGGTTAAGGGTATCATGGGTGATGGAATAATCACTTACTGCAAAAATATTGTAAAAGATAATAATGTGGACCTCATTTGTTTCATGAAAATCAAGTTAGAATGTTTCATCTTTGGATGACCCTTTCTCTATAGGAAATACAAGTTTTTCCCAGTAAAGTTGCAATAATTTTATATCTTAAATAGTTTGCTTCTTCTATCTCTTTCACCACTCCGTTTACTCATCCACAATTCATTCATGGTTGCCTCACATATTCTCAATAGTTTAAATTCCTCAAAATTGAGGAGAAAATGGGAGGGAAATCTACTCGTTGAATCCAAATTTATCAGATGGATAATACTCACTTTACTAGCAAATCTAACAGGTGAGCTTGAGAACCTATCAATGAGAATGGAAAATAGAGAATAGAGAATAGAGGAGAATTGGCTAGAAAAATCTTCACTATCTCAGTCAAGAATAAGTGAATAAGCTCAGAATCCAGAAGGTCAAAAAATCCTAAACTAATCCCCCCCCCCCAAAAAAAAAAAACTATTACACCTCACTTCTTATTTATAGGAATTTGTAGACTACAGGAAAAGCAACATAGAGAAAAATACTTGTACAACTCTACAAGATAATCTAGAACATATGATGCCTTTTAATGGGGTGTTGGAGGATGAAGTCAACAGTTTAGTGAGTTGTATGTCGTCGAGCGAGCTCTTGAGAGAACAAGTAGGAGTGGATCAATACATTGCTCGCTAATGAGTGAATGGTGCCAACCGACCCCTTTATCTTAAGAACTTGATTCCTTCCATGTGTTGAGGTCGCAGAAGAGTTAAATTATTGTCATCCATACCCAACTACTATCGAAATTTATAGCATAAGTGATTTCCATCAATTCATACCTCCACGAGCACAATCTCCGGTGGTCGCTCAGCTAGTTCAAGAATGTCTACGCGACAAAGGCATTCCAAGACGACTGCATGCAATTCTCACCCACTATAATGAAGGTAGTTGGCCTGGCAAAGAAGGTGAGAGATTGGAAGTTCAAATATGTTGTTGTCGAAAGTGTTGTTGGCGGGACTGTGCCTCATCATCACCTAATTTTGTTCACCCAAAAAGAATGCGGTGATCCCCTTCTTGTCCGCAAAGGAGAGCATGAAAGTCGCCATTAAGGGTAAGTTATTTTATTTCATTTTTAATGAAAGATTTTTCTAAGTCTTGAACTTGCCTAATGTTGTTCTTTGTTTTGCAAAAAAAATAGAGTGAAAGTTCTCCAAGGACTTATAGACCTTGAGAGTGATCTATGAGTCCCCAGTTAAGTTCAACTAAAAGAAGAAATTTGTGTATATTGGAACTAAAAGAGGGACAGTACCCTCTCTAAAAAAGATGAATAAAGTCTCCAAAGGCGGTGCGAGCTCCAAGGAGCTTGTGGCCAAGGCATGACAAACTCGCAAGGAGATGGGACCACCCACAACAAAGGTGTTGTGGGAGATCACCATCGATGAAATTGTGATAGCAGCGATAATCAAGAAGAAGAAAGTTGACACTATAGTCGGAAAGGGAAAGGAGCCCACTGAGTCGTCCTCTTCTATCGAATTAAAAAGCTATTCGATGAGCTAAAGATGAGTCAAACATGTCTAGAAGTGACAAGGTAGAAGGGGTGAATATAGAGAAGGAAGAAGAAGATGAGGAGACACGAGTTCCCAAGTCGTGCTACGAATAGGGAAAATTCTTTTTTAATGAAAGAATGGACTCGATTCTTAAAAAGTTCACTCCATAGGAGGTCAGCTTCTCCACATTAAACGCAATGGGGCAAGCTTGATAGATTATATACTATCCTACTCGCTACTAGATTCACCATGTAAGGCGAGCTGACTCCTTAGCGAGGATTGAAACAGAGGTCCAAGGGCACTTGGAGAATGAGAGATCCAAGAAGCTAAAAGTAGCAAAAAGGGTGAGCTTATTGGAGGATGAGCTTGCCAAAGCCAAAGAGCAGAACAAATTTGAGTTGGATTCGATCAATGCTCATGCATAGTCGATATTGGAGGCCAAAGAAGAAGCTGAAGCGAAAGTAAACGAACTAACTACAAAGCTAAATGAAATCGACTAGTTGATGAACCAAGGCCAGCTTGAAAAGATCCCAACTGAGTGTTATCATTAAGTGATCGAATTCTGCATGCGCAAGCTCACAGTTAAAGGCGAGGTCGCTCCTCGATTCAAGAACCGTTCACATTTCTTAAAAGAATTTAGTGATCATGATAAGAGTGATGGCATGAGTGCGACTGGTAATTGAGTTGCTTTTGCCCATCAAACACACTTTTTTTTTTAATTTATGTTTTGAAATTTTTTTCCAAGTGCCCAAATGTAACTCGCTTGTTTGTTTCATTTTCATTTTCCGGCTTTTACTCAAGTACCGAACTCACATTAGTATATACTCGCTCAAGTGTATATGAACTTGCATTTTGAATGGCAAGTTAATATTCATGGGAATTCACCCTTAGTTAATCTAGCAAGTTGTGTGTTCAAATTGACATGAATTTTACTGAGGTTGCTAATGGTGAGCAAATAGCAAGGCTTGCCATGTTTAGTGATTTGGGTAAGTATTTTTAGCTCCTCACTTATGGTTGATATTTATTTCCAGATGCACGATGTTACAACTCTAAGAAGAGTGAGCTCATCACTTACACATGAAATAGCCTTAGGTGGCCCGCGCCTTGTGCCAGACACTTCGTTGGGTTATCCACCAAGACTCGCCAACTATATGGGACTCACGTGCTACTCAATCGCAGATCTTCTCATAAAAGAGGGGAGCTGCCCCATAGGGTTATTTGCTAGGGCACTCGCCATTGCCTATAGTGTTGGAACACTTAAGATTTGTTATTTACAAGGGAAAGTGCACTACTCAATAGCGGGTCTTATCACGAGAAGGGGGAGTTAGCATGTAGTGACTAGACTGTTTGATTGAGAGATCATGACTTTGAGATCGTCAGCACTCATGTTCATAGTAATTCCATCACATTGTGTTGTTTCTAGCTAGTATGCTCCTAGGCCGGC